TCCCTCAAGAGCTACAGAGAAGGAAAATGGCCCCAGGTGGGCCAACTTCAGGGTTGACAGTTACCTTCAGGGTTTATTTTTAAGCCTAAAGCTGTGCTTGACCGATTGATCTCCTTTTCTCCCAAGGTTTGGGCCACAGACTTGGATCTGCGCTACAGCGATCAGCTGGCCATGACTCAGGTCGCGCTCTACATAACAGAGGGGATCTTCGACTGCACGTCAAGTCGCTTCCAGATACAACTCCCTTCAAAGAAGCCACCTGTGCAGAAGGAACAGACCCGATCCGTAAGTGATGCTCAAATGAAGAAACAATCACTTTGTGGCCTAAACTACAGCTCTCCAACCTTGGCAACTTTAAGCCTGGAAGACTTCAATTCGCCGGGCTTAAAAGTTGCCAATGTTGGAGACCCCTGGCCTAAATGGTGTTGGTCTCCCATTGTTTGATATCCTCGTGCACCATCACTCCATTGCACCGGGGACAGAACAGTGTGGCCCCCATCAGCTTTCCAGCCATTAGGAAGTTTTAATGTACTAATCCATGGATTGTAATTACATTTGGAAATGACCAGTCCTTTCCCTGTGCTTCATCTTTTGTGTTGGGTTTAACGTAAGTGGCCTGAGAGAATTTCTTGATGGATTGTTCCTTCCGGTTCTTAGCAGAAGGGGCGATGGGCTTTGCTGGCTTTATTCTTAGGCAGCCAACTGTCTTGGGCTGGTCCCTGCACAGCTTTCTAAAGCCAAATTCATTGTCTTACAATATTGGTTTATCACTTTCACAGGAAAACTGAGGCTGACCTTCTCTAGCATTTGTTAGTATCTATGGAAGGACTAGGGGCGAGGTGATCGATTCAGACTCTGGCTGAGCCATTCCAAATCTTGGACCATCCTCTTTCTTTGATCATTCAGTCTTTCAATATCTGAGGGGCTGCCCCAAAGACGAGGGGCTGAAGCTATTCTCCAAAGCACCTGCTGCAGGCAAGACAAGAAGCAACGGATGGAAACTAATCAAGGAGAGAAGCAATCTAGAATTTAGGAGACATTTCCTGACAAGGAAAACAATGGGCAACCACTGGGATGCCTTTTGTGTTGTGGGTGCTCCATCACTGGAAGTTTTTAAGAAGAGATTGGACAACCGTTTGTCTGAAATGGAATACGTTTCCTGCTTGAGCAGGGGGTTGGACTAGAAGACCTCCAAGGTCCCTTCCAACTCTGTTATTATGAATATTTGGTTCTCTGTTTACCAGTATTTTCTTTAAATTCAAGTCTTCTTTTTGCATATCCTTCATGAACGAAGGTCAGACTAATTGCAAGGGGCCTTAGTTTTATTTATTTATTTTTATTTATTTGTTTTGTCAAGCATATATAGGATAATAGATATAAGTATATACAAGATTATGAATATATAAAATGGATACGATTTTTTCTTCTTCCAAGTCAGGAAACTGAGTGGCACTGGTGAATATCACTTTCCACATCTTCAACTTTCATTACCCTTCAGAATAGTTAAGTTCGAGATCTCTGAAATGCAGCTACTGTTCTTTGCAAACAATCCTCCATGTTTATGTGTAACTACAATATTGTAGAATCCCTTTCTATGTCATTGTAACTACATTTACCCCAAGCTCCTACCACGACCGCTTCTAGACATGGAGTTCAGGTAAGACCAACTGACATTTTAGCACAGGTGTGTGGACTTTCTATAGCCACTGTATGGGGAAATGGCTTTATAGCCAGATGTTGTGCATTCCCCAAAATGTCAAAAATGATACCTTTTTGGTCTGTTCTCAAGCAACTATGTGGGGTAAGAGGAGTACAAGTGAGTTCTGATTCAACTCCAGTTCCTGGTCTTAAAAATGGAAAGTAAGCAAGCAGCCCTATTCTGTAAATTAAAATAATTGCAGATTAATGCATAGTTGTCCCTTTTGACCTGCCTGTTGCCCTCAACACCTCGTTTCTTCCTCTTCTTCCTCTTCCTCGTTCAGCCAAGTGTTCGGGGTAAAACTGGGGATCCAGCACATCAGATCTTTTAAAGAACCGGAAGAAACAAACAGAGACAAATCTTTTTACAGTGCATGATCTATAATGAATGATTAAGTAAAAACACTTTATGTGAAATTATGATGTTAATAATGCTTCTGTCCCGGCGAATTTATTATGTGTTCACTGGGCTGCTTGCTTTGATTTTGATAAAATGGAGCGGCAACTGAGTACGAGTGATGGCTTTTATTTTTAGAAATCTCCTTTGCCAGAGCAAACTTCCTAGATACCGCCGCTACTGTAATTATGTAGAAAACCAATCACTCATTATACTTAGGATACATTATCTTTGAGACAGATGAGGCTAAATAAGCAAGACATTAATAATTCATCCCGCAGTTCATTATGCATGTGTTTGTCTGCTTTGTAGCTGAAATAAGCACCTCATCAGACCGATGCCTGCGCTTAAACAATGGTTCGGTGTTATTGCTGCTACAAACGGGTTTACGCTTGTTAAACTGCGATTTGGATTATTTTATCAAGCATTCGTTTGTTTTATTTGCTGCCGTCTTTTGCCAGGGATAAATTTCTCAAAACTTTGGGTACCTGTTCTGGAAGCCTTTCTTTCAGCTGCCTGGCCCCAGAGAGAAGGCAGCCCCTCGGAGAGGCAGTGCCTGGCACCCCCTCCCCACTCCCGCGCCTGCTTGCCTGTCTCATATGAGTGCATGGGTGAGCATGGTGTTCGAGGGAAGAGTAGTGGTTGCCACTCTGGCTAGCACTTTCATGCCACAAATAATACTTGAGAATGAGAGATTTGGGATGAGGGGACGGAAGGCCGGACTTCGCATCCACAATATCTTTCCATTAAATCGGAGAGCTAGCTTAAAAATCTCCCTCTTTATTCTCACGGTTCTAATACCGTGTAGCAAAAATAAAATAATAAAATTATCCCATTGAAATACGGAATATCAACAAAAGCTGCTCGAGACACATTCGTTCTAAGGAGCTTCCCAAAGCTGCCTTTCTACATATGGCACATTTTGAACCCTGCGTGCGCCCATTGAAATTCAGGTCTTTACTAGATGATCATCAAAATGACTTGGCAGCCATCAGCCAGCATGGATGAAACCCCTTGGCTCCCCCCGCCCCCTGATTTCTGCCAACAACCAGACACAATTTTGCTTAGCACGGTTTTACAAACATTGTATTATTAGCCTTCTTGACATTGTGATAGCCAGTCGATGGCACAACAGTGGGCAGGCAGTGGGGGCCCCTCTGGATCAGCAGTAAAACTCCAAAGGCTGGCACTTTGGCTGGCAATTTAAGAATTCCCTGCCATTTTGTGATGGGAATAAAAATTGTGCTGCAGGCCAAAATAGAGGTGCCACTGTGGGTTATTTATGAATTTATTTAAAAAACCTCCCATACTCAGGAGAGGAAAAATAACAAAATCTGGCCGTGTCCACCATTGTCCTACTCAGCGTTCCTGATAGGCCCTGGAAAAGGCCCATATCTGCCCAAGGACATTTTTTAAGAAAAGGGGAGGAGGGAAAAGTGGAAGGGGTCATGGTGAGAAAGCCCACGTACGACTGAAACCTTGAGACCAATTTTAACATTTGTGTGTGTATATGAGACCCAAGAAAAATGTATGAGAGCTACTACATTCTCAAACAAGTTCTCAGCAGTTTCGGGCTGGTGAAGGGGTTTAGGAACACTCACTGAGGCCAACTTCCCGGTCAACTCACCACAGGACAACTTCTGCAATCCACCATGGGATAACTCAAGAGAGGGACAAGTGAATTGTGGCACATCTTGTCTTGCCTTAGGTTTTGAATCTTGTCAAGTCAGAAGGCCTCCAGACGGGGGAGGTGAGCAGCAATTCTACTTCTCCCTCTTTTGACTTACCAGGTGTTGAATTGTCCCATGGTGAGTCAGCCAGAGTTAATCAGCCAGAGCAAGTCAACCGTGGCAAATCCCACTGCTGAAGTATCAGTGTGGTTTTGGGACTGCTACAATTCCTTTTAGAAGGCAGCCTGGAGAAGTGATCTTTGTCACTCTCGCTAGCCTTCCTAAAGCCTTTCTGCCATCTTGCTGACCCTGCTGTTTTTTCTGGGGAGGTGAGTCAGGCACTTCTCCAAGCTAAATGTGTGTTTTCTGCGAATGATTTTTTTTAATGGTTACTGAAGAAATGATCGTAAATCAAGGATATCTGTAATTTGCTTTTTAAAAAAAAAGAATCCTGAGACCTGGAATTACTTACTTTAATTCTGTGATTTTTGTACCAGTAGGTAGATCCCAGGATTCAGGTGGAGGGGATCATGTCTGAAATCTTCTCACCCTTGATTTATATACTACGGTCCTTTCATGTTTATTCTGGATCCTATTTCCATTACCGCATTAAGAAAGTACTCGAAGCAACATGAAGCAACTTTGGGTTTATTATCATTTTGGACTGACGTTCAGTGTGGTGTGAAAAGATTTGGATTCCCACCAATTAGCCTAAATTTCCTTGCAGAGTGGTTGGTAGGAGGGGGGGAAATGTGAGAGGCCTTTGCAATGTCTGAAGTGGGTTCAGAATCTCTCCAAGCAGAAATCTAGATCTTTGTAGCTTCCACACTGAGTAGATCTCAGCCTCCGTGTGAAGTGATGAAAGGCATGAATGCTTCTCGGGGTATTTATGACTTCAGATTTATAGGATGAAACATTGAGAGGTTTAATATCTGTTCTATGTTATGCTGCTACTCATTTTGGAATTTCAGTTTGCCACTCAATATACGAGCCCTGTTGGGTTTAGTAATTGCATCGTATCTTCTGCATCCTTATTAATTAATTGATTGATTGAACTATTGATTAAATTTATATGCCTCCTATCTCACTATTGAGAGCAACTCTGGGCGGCTCCTTCATTAACTACTGAGGACTCCTTGTAAGAGGGCCTTCCCAAATTGTGTGCCCTTTGGATGTTCGTCTCCCACTCCTACAATCCTTAATCTCCCAGTGGGAACAGAAGCTGAGCTGGTCTGGAGGGCACCAGGTTGGGAATGCTGCACAGGGCTCCTCTCTCCATCAGGACCAGGCAGTCTGATGGTAGATGTGTGAAGAGGACTTAATGAATGGAGATGCCTCCTTGAGTTACAGTGCTAATCCTCCTCCTTTATCTGTGTTCAAGTGAGTCATTGCAAAGGTTGAGATTTGTTTCTTTGAAGAAGAGGAAGAAGAAATATGCCGGGAGGTTTAAGATTTAGCTACTCTTGTATAAATCTGCACTCCAGCCTCGAAGCTGGAATCTCTCAGGGATTCCTTAGCCTTAACTCTTTCTCCTTTTTCCTTTGCCAGACTTCCCTGGCCAGCCGCTACGTTCTCATGAGCAGTTCGATTAAGAATGACAACCTTTCCTTCATTTACTATAATGTTTTCCTCCAGATGTGCAAGGCTCACGGGATCGGCTACGATGTGCAGGTAAGAAAGACGCCTGCTTTCATTTCAGTGAAATAACAATAGGAAAATAGGCTGGGGAAGAAATAGAAGGTAAACCTCTAAAATGCGTGAACCACACATGAGCTGCTTTGGGGAAAGAATCTACATGTTTTTGCCCCTATGATCAATTTCGATGAGATCTGTGTTTATTAATAGAGTTCAGATACTGAAATCCTGATTTCAGGCCATTAGGACTTGGAGGGAGAAGGGGAGAGGAGGAAAGAATTACCAATGTATTCTTTTTACAGACACTTTCTTTTGTTGAATACTTGACCATCAACTTTTTATATCAGCTTCGTAGTGAAAATTTTTAATTGGCTTGTTCTTAAATTATTTTATACTTAAATGACTTCATCTCACATAAGGCGCCTTAGCATGTGATCTTGGGAAATTGTATGTTTAGCATTTCCAGACACAGTAATAAAAATTAAAAAAAGCTTAACATCTTATCCCTTTCAACAGCTAAAAGAAGGAACCGTTTTTATCTTGTATGAAGACAAGAAACGAAACACATTTGGAATGATGTAAGTTCCCAGGAGAAAGGCATTGCTGGCCCTTGATAGTCCTATAGTTTAAGATTCCTTCTCTCTGCTCTTTGCCAGTCTTCTGGACATTCTAAAAGCCCAGAGAGAATGGCTCCTTAACAGACCCTGATGGCAAAGGCACAGAATTGTGTCCGAAAAGCCAGATTAAAAATATCCATAACTATTTTTACCTAGTAACTATTCTTCAAGAGCAGCCACAGCCCAAGCCTCACTGAAACAGCTGAACTCCTGTTTTTATGGGGGATCTGAGCAACGCCAAGTTTCCAACAGCATGCTCTGCCCTTCATAATACTGGGGTTCTCAACCCACCAGTGCTACCTGTTCACATATTTGAGATGCTTTAGTACTCTCATGTTTTAAATGACTCAAGCTTTTGCCCTCCTCCATTACTTGATTAATAAAAAATATTTATTACACAAATCCTTTTTACTGACAAGTTAAAATGGAGCCTCATCTTTTGTATCTCCCTGAAGATTGCCACCTTCGGAGATTGAAAATATTCATTAAATCCCTCCGTCTGACAGGCCCAAATGAGAGGGCGATTGTTTTTAAGCGTGCGAATAGAATCATTGGCAAAGACGTTTCTTTGGATATCATTAACAGAACAATTGGAGAACATCTCCAGGGGGTCCTCATGACCTTTGCTCAGCATCTCTTCATCATCTATCAAGAATTATCAGCACCTAATATGCATGCCGAGACCAATTTTAAGGTGAGGTGTTAATTAACTAACGATCCCCGTTAAATTTCTGTTCAAGGACAGAAAACACCTCATGCTGTATTATAAACAAGTGCTAAACCATCCTCGCTTCTGCTCGTAGCCGAACGTATTTCACAGCTTGCGGGTCAATATTGTGAGATTCCTGGCGAATCTGTTAGTTAAATTTAAGGGTTTTGGTACGGGAGCATGGATTTGCTTGGCTGAGAGCGGTTGGTATACTTGTTTAAAACACACACACACAACATAACCCTCTCTAGCGTGAATGGCTAGCTCCTGAGGAAATTAGATTTTCATTTTGCATACATCCACTCTTGGATTTACTAATTGGAGAGGCAAAAAATGCTCTTCTCCCCAAAGACTTCTCCTATTGATTCGTCAAATGAAATGGTTGAGATGTTTGAAATATTAAAACACATCCATTAGGAGGAGGCAAACAAATAGGCTGTTTATGTTCCAATAACTATGGAAGGGTGATGGCTGTAAGCCCAGGGTTTGCACTTGTGTACATTCTGCCCACTATGATGGCTATCAAAGCAAGCACTTACTTAGGAAGCCTCTGGGGGGCGCTACTGTTGAAGGAACCTCTGGAGTGCTGGTGTTTTGTGAATGGCCATTCACTTGTAGCTCAGTTCCAGTCAACATAGAATAATAGGATTGGAAGGGACCTTGGAGGTCTTTGAGTCCAACTCTCTGCTCAAGCAGGAGACAGTATATCATATCAGAGAAACGGCTGTCCAACCTCTTCCTGGAAAGCTCCAGTGACGGAGCCCCCACAGCTCCTGAGGAAAGCCATTCCACCGATTCTCATGGTCAGGAAATTTCTCCTTAACTCTAGGTTGGCTCTCTCTGTTTAGTAATCTTTCACCAAGTACGTCTTGTCCTGCTCTCAGGTGCTTTGGAGAATAGATGAACCCCCTCTTCTATATTTCAAATATTGAAAGACTATCATATCACCCCTAGTCCTTCTCTTTGTTAGACTAGACATATCCAGTCCCTGCAACCCATCGGTTGTACTTCCAACCTGTACTGCCTATGGTCAATGTTAAGTATTGTATTTTGTGTGCTACTGCACGGTGATGGCTTGGTTCCTTCTCCAAAGGTGCAAAAGATGGCACTAAAAATACAAGTCCCAGCAGAAATTCTGAGTGATGAACGGTGGTCCATCTCAACCCCAGGGAAGGCACCATGAAGAGCACCCCCCCTTACACACAGGTGTCTATAAGGGCTGTCAAAAAGTAAAGAGCATCTCTTGATTATATGGATGTGGTCCCCATAATGGCTTCTATGACACATTGACATTGCTTTGTCTGATCTCATTCTTGCATATACTTTGTTCATTAGGCAGGTTGTAGGATTCTGGAAGTTGAAGCCTAATCTTACTGAATGGAAACAAGTCCAAAAATCAGAAGATGCTATTTGCCCCTTCAGGCAACCTATTACATTTTTGCAAAGATTCTGGAAAATGTTGAAGCTACCATTTTGGGTTTCTAGGAACCAAGATTTCTACCCAAACTTTGTCATTGGTTATGAGTCCCGGCTGTAACCTTCAGATGATGGTAGCTTCGGTTTTGGATGACACCATAAGTCTTGAGCAGGAGTCTCCAAACTTGGCAACTCTGAGACTTGTGGACTTCAATTCCCAGAATTCCCCAGCTAGCTGGCTCCACAGGTCTGCTCATCAGGATTAAAAACATGTGCACCACCAGGGATGGTGATGCAGTTTCCTTGGCTTTAGCTTAACACCTTCCATCAACACAGCTATAGGTTAATGCCTATTATGGTCAGTCCAGAAGACCAAACATGAGTGGGAGGATGGAGAAATCTGTAGGGCTAATCTGCAGCATTTCCACCTCTTTCTAGGGAGCCATTCAAGATATTGAGAAGATCTTGGGGGTTACAGAACAGAACAAGTTAAAATTTAAAGAGGAAAAGGTGGCCTCGAAAGTCAAAAGATCCAGAAAATAGTGAGTAAACTTTCAATCTCTGTTCATAGCATCTTCCAATAATCCTTTTGCATTTTTCTTTCTCCAAATCGCACTTTATGCACTTTGCTTGAATAGGTGACCAGTCGGCCAGGCCAAAAACACCTGTTCATTTTTCCTTAGGATAGCTTGAGCCTAAAGCTTTAAAAATCATACTTAGTTGGACATCACTGTGGAAGAGAAAAGATGTGTAATAGATGTGATTGGTCAGTTCCCTCACTCCATAACATGCTCTCGGTTGTATGCCAAAGATTTAATATAGGGTGATATAAACTCTATTCCAAGCAATTTATATACAATAATACATATACGAAGAAACCTCACGAATAAAGAAAAATATATGTGTCCCAGGATAATGTTGCAAGATTGAATCAGGGTTGGTCACTGGGATCAGAGGTTTAGTGTTCCAAGCTTTAGGATTCATGCTGGAGCTCATCTTCAGGGACCTTCTATCTAACAGTGTGTGCTATGAGCTATACTATGCATCGTATTTATGTGGTGTCTGATTGGTTGTGGCTTCACCAGAAACATGAATACGATGCATAAAAAGTTAAAGGTTCCCCCGCACATGCGTGCTAGTTGTTCCTGACTCTAGGGGGCGGTGCTCATCTCCATTTCTAAACTGAAGAGCCAGCACTGTCTGAAGACGTCTCTGTGCTCATGTGGCTGTCATGACTAAACACTGAAGGCGCACGAAGCGCTGTTACCAAAGATGATCCCTATTTTTCTACTTGCATTTTTTATGTGCTTTTGAACTGCTAGGTTGGCAGAAGCTGGGGCAAGTAACAGGAGCTCATTCCATTTTGCGGCGCTATGGATTTGAACCGCTGAACTGCCAACCTTCTGATTGACATGCTCATCATCTTAGCCATTGAGCCACTGCGCCCCTATATGATGCATAGAATACATGACACATAGAATAGCCCAAAGCACACATTCTGGTGGAGGGAAGTTCTCTGTGGATGGGCTCCATCCACAGTTGGAAAGCTCGGAAGACTAAACCTCTGGTCTGGGTAACCCACCCGGATTGGATCTTGCAAAGAAACCTAAATATGAAATTTACACCTGCTCTCTTTTAGGGCACAGTAACACTAATTATTGAAAGTGATTAATTATTTTGGAAGAAAAAATACTTGAACATTGATTTGTTTTTTGTTTTTTGTTTGTCTTCCTGCAGATTAAAATACACTCTTCACACCTTGAGATTCTCATCAGGCATCTTCAAACTCTTCGTTCTTTTGAAGCTTTTACAGTTGTAAATCTGAAACTGTTTTTTGGATTTTTGAAAACTACATTTAGGGAAGCTAAGTAGGTCTTAGTAGTGACCCAGGTTTTAAAAACTGTTAATATTAGATTCAATTTCCTCTGTGTACTGAGCATGAACATTTATTCCTCCAATAAAATGCAACATATTTATAGTGGGGAAAATAATTTCCCAATATCAGAAGTGAGAAGACTCTTCTAATTTCTAAGAACATTAAATTCATTTTTCGTTATAGGAGTGTGCCTCAAATTCATGGAAAAAAGGAGACATTTTCATGCATTTCATTGGTTGATCTACTCAGATCCATTGGGTTTAAGGAGTCATATCCCAATACATTTTCAATGTCAATAATCCATAAGAACTGAAGGAAATTATAGGAACAGTCACAAGTGGACTTTATATTCCATACCAGATTACATTACAAATAGTTTCATACTTCACAAATTTCTGGGAGTTGTTCTTTTATTCAAAAAAAAAAGTAAGCAAAGCTGGCTGGGGAATTCTGGGAATTGAAGTCCGGCTTATACCATTGAGGGCTTAGCTTATTACCATCTATGATGTCTATGTGTCAGCTAACTTGCCAGAATGTCATTATTTCTTCTGTTGAGTGTTTCTAATGTAGCCAGGTCCAATCGTGGGTCAAGTCATAACTGTATTTTTAAACAGCAAGCTTTGTTTAAAATAATAGAATGCTGGGAGTTGAAGTCCACACATCTTAAAGCTGCTGTGAGGTTGAGAAACACTGACTTAGAAACGTTGTTCCTCCTCTCCATATGAACAAATGACCCCAGCGGCCTTCTTACACAGTGGTCCCTCATATGCTGGCTGGGGAATTCTGGGAATTGAAGTCCACCAGCCTTAAAAGTTACTGAGGTTGAGAAACATTGGCCTAACAGATTGAGGATGGTTACATTATTATTTCAGATTGTGAGTCACTTTGTGTCTTGCAGCCGAGCAGGTAAATTTGTAACCAGTGATGGCATTCAAATAATTTAACAACTGGTTCTCTGTCCTAATGATTTCTTCCAACAACCAGTTCACCAAACTGTTCAGAAATTTAACAACTGGTTCTCGCGAAGTGGTGTCAACTGGCTGAATCCCACCACTGCCTATAACTCTATTGTCCAACATTTCTGGCACCAGTTGGCATTTTACAGGGAATTCTGGGAATTGAAGTCCACCAGCCTTAAAAGTTACTGAGGTTGGGAAACATTGGCCTAACACAGGGGTCCTCAAACTTGGCAACTTTAAGACTGGTGGACTTCAACTTCCAGAATTCTCCAGCCAGCATGTGAAGGACCACTATGTAAGAAGGCCGCTGAGGTGATTTGTTCATATGGAGAAGAATAAGGACTTAGTCTCTAAATCAGTGTTTCTCAACTTTTATGACTTCAACTCCCAGAATTCCCTGTAAAATGCCAACTGGTGTCAGAAATATTGGACAATAGAGTTGTAGACTTGGGATTCAGCTATGCTGGCTGGAGAATTCTGGGAGTTGAAGTCCACCAGTCTTAAAGTTGCCAAGTTTGGGGATCCCTGGCCTAACAGAACGAGGATGGCTATGCTTATTTGAAATTGTGAGTCACTTTCTGTCTTGCAGCAGAGCAGATAAATTTATGGCTCTGTTGTCCAACATTTCTGGCACTGGTTGGCGCTTTACAGGGTATTCTGGGAGTTGAAGTCCGCCAGGCTTAAAGCGAAGAGGGCGCGTGGCGGGCGCGGCGGCACGCGCCTCCTCCCAAGAAGCCAACCCCCGGGGGCGCGCACGCAGGGCTGGCGTGCTGCGCAGGCGCGGCGGCGAGCGGGGCGGCCCCCGTGGCGCGGCGCATGGCGCGGGCGGCCGTTCGGGCGCTGGGGCGGCTCCACGCCGGGCTGCTGCGGGCGCTGCTGTGGCCCTCGGGGCCTCCTTCTGCGCGCCCCGCCGCCTCTGAGGTCCTGACCCTCCACCTGCTGCAGCGCCGACTGCCGCCCTGGACCTCCTTCTGCGTCAAGTACAGCGCGGTGCGCAACGACCAGTTCGGCCTGTCCAGCTTCAATTGGGCGGTGCGCGGCGCCAACTACCACGTGCTGCGCACCGGCTGCTTCCCCTTCGTCAAGTACCACTGCTCCCGCGGGCCCCGCCGGGACCTGGACTCCCAGGACGCCCTGCTGGCCGCCCTCAAGCTGCTCAACCTGGGTGAGCGCGGGGCCCGTGGGCGCCCTCTTGCAAGGCTCTACGGGGCGCGGTGCGGGGAAGGCGCTCCTCCCAGTAAGCCTGACTAGGTGGCTCAGTGGCTAAGACGCCGAACATGTCCATCAGAAACTTCGGCGGTTCGAATTCATAGTATAGGTCTCCTGGAGGTTGGACTAGATGACCTCCAAGGTCCCTTCCAATTCTGTTACTGTTAAGCAGAGGTCTTCAAACTTGGCCACTTTAAGACTTGTGGACTTCAACTCCCAGAATTCTCCAGCCAAACTTGGCAACTTTAAGACTTTAAGCAGAGCTGGCTGGAGAATTCTGGGAGTTGAAGTCCACAAGTCTTAAAGTGGCCAAG